TACCCTATGCCCACCACAGCCTCTCAGAGTGAACAGCTAACACCACCAACTCACAAAAATGGAAACTGAAAGGCATGGCCAGCAAGTCCAGCTACTAGGAGGTGACCTTTGTGTTCACAGCCAGGTAGAGGCGAAGCCAAGGCCAACAGAGACAGATGCCACTGCAAGAATTGATTCGCCACTCAGGTCAACCTAGGCAACCAGCAAGGAGCACCAGACTCAGGAGTCCATCCGTCTGTTTGTCCCTCCCACAACCCCACAAAGGGGGAGCTGTTCTGCCACTACAATGCAGGAGTATTCTCCTGTTTCTCTTTTTGCAGTCTGAAGGACTGAACCCAAGACCTTCCCACAGAGCCACACCCCCAAATATCCCTTATTTTGAGACAAGCAGAGTGTTTCAAAGTCCCTAAGTTACCCAGGCTGAACCCAAACTTGTGATCTTCCTGCCTCAGCTTCCCAGAGTACTGGGATTACAAACGCGCACTACTGTGCCCAGCCAGCTGTATTCTCAAATGTGTTCAAAGATGCTACTTCCTTCAGGCTGAGTTAAGTTTCAAGGTTCAAACCAAAAGAACTGAGCAACAGGACAGGCCTGATTGGAGCCGCAGGGAGAGTGACCAGGGAGAGTGGCTGGGCCATTCCTTCACACCTGCTTCCCGTGAACAGACTTTCTTTCCCTCCACAGGCCTGCCTCCCCCGAAGCCACGCTATCTTTAAGGGAGATAGCAGCCTCAAGTAGCTCAAGGTCCCCACCCTCCACCTCCTGCCAGCCCCTCTGAGGCACTGCCCACCTCCTGCCAGCAAGTCCTGTCTCAGCTGAAGCTTGGTACTGCCCAGAGCCCTTAGGGCCTCCCCCCCAGCCCCCAGGCCCAGAGTCAGCAGGAAGCCAAGTACCTGCCAAACTCACCTGGGAATAGAGCAGAAGAGGGAAGGGAGGGTGCTGGGGGGGAGAGCTGCAGGGGGCCCAGCTGCACCTACCTGAGCCACTTTCTCCGAGCCCCGAGCCCCGAGCCCCGAGCCCCGCTCTCCTGGAGGGTTCAGGAGGATTCTCCCTCACTTCCTGAGGCTTTCAGGTGTTCTACTGGAATAAGTTCCTTTGTCTCCTAAAAGACTAACCTACATTTTCATCAGACAAAAAGAGGTCACGGATACAACCTGGAAAGCACAGGGTGGGGGAGGGGCAAGCCCAGACTGGCGAGTCTCTCGACAAAATCCTGAATCACACTGGCGGGAGCCCATAGGCAGGCGGGACTGTCCTGCAAGGTACTTTGCTGCTGAGAAAATCACCTCTGTCTCGCTGTGATCACATCAAGACCCCTGCTTTTTTTACGTCGACCTTACCCGGCTGCCTGTGGAATTCAACTCAAAGGGTGCTTCCCAGTCAGCATGTGGAACAAGTCTCCTCACCTGAGAACGCAGCCATGAGGCCGGACTGTCCGGCTCAACACTTGGTACAGTTCCGGTCACACCAGAGCATCCACTCTAACCCTCAGCCGGCACTTCAGAGGCAGCATGGCTCAGGGAGCCCTATCAACCACACTGACGACTGGTTCTTCCAGCTCTGCAGCACTTTCCGACCTGTTGGGCGGGCAGGGAGGGAACCCCAGTGATGTTCAATTACCTGGGCCAGCTGCTTCACCTACAGCCTGTTTCACAATCCTCGTTTGCTACAGTGAGCATAAATTAACTCAATTAGCAGGGGAGAGAAACGTCTAGGGCAGTGGTGGCAAACCCACAGCACGCATGCCACAGCAGGCTGTTATCACCAGAGCTCTAAAAGGCTTGCCACCGTCCTTGGATTCAGGTCAGCAGCCCCGCTTGTTCGGAGGCCCCCCACCCCAGTGTCCAGGCTGCCGTCTCTCTCTGAGAGCCTGGACAAGCTCAGGTGTCCACACTCAGCGCTAATGCACACTGAGGTCCTGGACTGCACTCACGATGAGGCAGTCCCTATGTCCCTGGGAGATCTGACACACCCACTTTCAAAGCTGTGCAGGTCATCTCTAATGTCCTCCCATGAAACAAACACCAGAAAAGCCAACATTTCCAAAAGGCTCCCCTGCCTTCCCACTCACATCCTTCAGAAGCACACTTCAACCTTCTCTTCTAATTAAAACCCAGAGGTCCTGGTTGGCTTTGGCTCTTTGGGCCACCCTCAGTCCCTGTCCCTCCCTTCACCCCTTGGAAGGGCTCCCACTGTTCTCAGGAGGAAGCCCCCGGCCCTCCCACACCTGCCCATCTATATCCCCAAAGGCCACTGCTCTGCCCCCAGCTTGCCAATCCCCTCCAGTGTGCACACTCTAGCTAGAGACACCTTCTCTTGCTCGACTCATCCCACTCACCCTGACCAACAGGGGATAGGCCCCATGGACTCCCTGGGTCTAGTCGGGCTGTCCGGGCTGTCCTTCCCTACTTGGCCGCCATCAGTTTGGCCACGTTATAAGATTAATTACTATTCTCTGCCCACTAATCTCACTGTAAACTCCACCCGGCAGGGATCCCTAACACAGGGCCAGAGGCACAGTACGGTACACCGATATGTATCGAACAGATGAATCCACAAATCACTATTAGCAATGCCAGAAGTTCACAAAACAAATGATGCAAAACAAGTCAAAGAGCTACTTAAGGGTTGAAAATGATGTTACTCAAATACTCATTTTTTTAAAAATTCACAAAACAGGGGCTGGGGATTTAGCTCAGCAGCATAAGCACCTGCTTTGCAAGCGTACGGTCGTGAGTTCAATCCCCGGTACCAATAAAAATAAATAAATAAAAATTCACGGCTGGTCCGATGGCAATGGGTTATCAGAACTTATTAACATTAGTGTCACTAAAGTTGGTATACCACCCCCCCCACTGCTAAATTTGACTGGCTTTAAAAAAATTTTTTTAAAAAATTCACAAAATAGAGATACCAGAAAATTTCCTTTCAAAGGGGTAGGAGGGGGTAAGCAACTGGTAATACTAATTCAAAGGTTTGTTTTGTTTTGTTTTGTCTTTTTCTTTTTTTATCGGTACCAGGGTCGAACTCACAAACACACAGATGGCATTTTAAAAAATATGTAACTGGGTATGGTGGTACAATCCTGCAATCTCAACATTTGGGAGGCTGAGGCAGGAGGATCCCTGTAAGGCCAGCCTATGCTACATAGTTCAAGGCCAGTCTGGCCTACAAAGAAGACCCTGTCTTAAAGACAATCACAACAACAAAAAACAGATGTTACCCAAGTGAAAACAATAACAATGCACCCAAATCAGTAATATACAACACTCCCTTTCTCACCACTTCCAAAATGAAACCAGCTTCAGAAGCTGTGGGATAAGTGAAGAATGAAAGACACCCGACAGGCAGGAGTGATCAGTAAAGGATAAGGGAGAATTGAAAGCCATGCTCAACCAACATTCTCATGCTCTAAACCGCTTGTAACTTTTCTAAAGTCCCAGGCTGAGGAGGCAAAATGCAAAGAAACCAGCCTGTGGCTCCCTCCTCACAGGCCGGCCAGTGATGGGGCTCTCAAGCAGACCAGGCAGGACTGGACCATGGTTCCCCTAGCTCCACACAGAGGACCTGGAAGCCTGAACAAGAACACTGCTCCAGCTTCAACACTCCAGCGAACTCCTCACAGGCTGACATTCCAACAGCGCACTGGGCTCTAGGTCCTCCACAGCCCCCACTGGCCACCTGTAAAGTGGGGTGGGACTCTGATGCCATGGGATCATTACAGACACCAAATCTGCATGGAAGTGAGTGCTGGCACACAGTACGCACTCAGACCTGAGCCCAGTCCCAGCCATGTGCCTTCTCCACCACTCTGGGGCAAGAAAAGCAAGCTGCTGTCTTGAATGTACCCGAACCAACTGCGGCCATCAAACAAGACTTCATGTCACAGAGAAAACTGGCAACGCTACAAGAAAAGTCCACTAACGGCAGGGGATGAGTCCCAGGCCAGGCGACTGCTGCACAGAGGACGTCTGTCCCTCCCTGGCGACTAAAGCCAGGGGGTGTCACTGTGCGGATGGGCACACAGAGATGCAAGGGGCGCTGTGTGCTCCAAGAAAACTGAGAGAAGCCAAAAGGGGAGGAAAAGAGAAAATTCAAGGCTCAGGTGACTCACCCAGACTTTGTTCTAAAGAATCCACGGAGCTTAAGGATGAACTACACACAAGATGCTGAGCCAGTTACACAAAGTGAAGCAGGCCGGGCAAAAATTCTCAGGACAGGGAAGAAACACGCACCCAAGGGCTGTCATGCAGCCCTTGAGGAAGAGCCTTCCATTCATTTCCAGATCCCCAAGTGTCCGGCTGCAGCGGAGGCCCTGCCCATAAGCCCGTCCTTGTTGAAGTGATCAATTCCGATTCTTGGCAATAATCCCTTTAAAAGGCCAGCTGCTGCTGTCTAGTCACTGATGCCAACCCATTCGAGGTGGGGGAAAAAGAAATCAATAGAGCCACCTCCCACATGAGGAGGCAAATTTAAAGTGCAGGGCCTTGGGGAAAGGCTGGCGCCCAGAAAGGGGGAAGGGTCCCGCGGCTTTCGGGGGTCAAACAGGAAGGGCGCGAGTGGGGGAAGGGCTGGGGGAGGGCCAGCCCTGCAGGCGTGGGCACGCGGGGACTCTTATTCTGACACGGGATCTGCCGCCGCCGCCACTGCCGCCGCGGGGTTCAGCGCCGAAGCCCCGCCCGCCGGGCACCCCCCAGAGCGGGACCCCGGCCCGCGTGCCCACGTGCGCCCGCCCGGCGCTCGCAAGCGGTGCCTCTCGGCCCGGCGCCTCCGAGCCCCGAAGGAAACGCAGGAAAAAGCGGGGCAACGCCGCGACTTTCCGGGACCCCCGCCCGCCAGGCCCCCACGTGCCCGCCGGCGGCGGTGAGGGGAACTTTCCAGGGAGCGAGGGGAAGGCGCCGCGGGACCCTGGAGTAGAACTCGCTCGCTCGCACTTTTCGGCGCTCGCGCGGGTCCCCGCCCCGGGCCGGCGCCCCGCCAAGTTTGGTCGCGAACTTACCGGGCCGGGCCGCCGAGCCCTAGGGCTGCGCGCGCGCTCGGGGGCCGGGGCCGGGGGCGCCGGCGGGGCCGGGCGGGAGGGCCGGGGGCGCCGGGCCGCGCGCGCTCGCTCCGCCAGTGGGGCCGCCCGGGCCCGCGGCGCTCGCTCCGCCGGTCCGCCCGCCCGCCCGCGCCGCCGGCCAGATAATGCGCCCCTCGGCCGCACACATGGAGCCCGGCGCCGGCGTCACCGCCCGGGACATGCGCACCAGGTCAGCGCGCCCGGCCCGCGGCCCCCAAAACACCGGGGAGCTCTTAAAGGCGACGCCGCCCGCCCGCGCCCGGCTGGGCGGGGCCCACTCAGAGGGGCGGGGAGGTGGGCGGGGCTCCTGGCGCGGAAGGCGAGGTCGGGGGCGGGGCTGGGTCCGTCGGCCCCGCCCCTCTCGCAGCCCTCCCACGCGCCGCGCAGCCCGCCTCCCCACGCGGCTGGGGGCCGCCTCCCGGCCCAGTCCAGCTCCCTCCGCAGGCCAAGGGTCGGCGCCGGCTCCTGGCCGCTGGACCAGGCTACCGCGCCCAGGGTGAACCACGACACGCGCTCTCTGGTGACCTCGCGGGCCCGGGGGGGGGGCCCTGCAGCCACTCCCGCCGCCGCGGGGTCATCACGCAGTGCCATGGCCCGGAACTTGAGCCTGGAGCCCTGCAGGGCGCGGTGCAGCGGGGCGGGGCACCGGCCTCTCTCCATCCCTCCCACCCTCTGCTCTCTGAGTAGCTCAGCGGGCCCCTTCCCGCCAGGGCACCGGGACGTCCGACCCTACAGGCGCGGGCCTTGGAGCGAAGGTAAACCCAGAACCGCGGAAGAGCTCCAGCAGGGACAATCTGGGATCACAGAAAGATCTCAGCCACGAGAGAAGGAGTCACGGCGGGCTCGCTGCGGTTCTCCCAGCGGTATGGACTGCACTATGCGACACAGGACTTGGAGGACCCGTGCCTCGAGTTTTCATTACAGGCCAGTGTGCACACATGCAAGCGAAATAAACGTCCCACCCAAGCAGGGCATGATGATGCGCGCCTTTATTTAATTGCAGCTGGGTAGGCTGAGGCAATAGGATCAAAAGTTCCAGCACCTTTCGGGCAGCTTAGCGAGACCCTATCTCAAAGGAACATTTGTTTTAAAAGGAGGGGTGGATATGCAGTTTAATCCAAAGACCCCTGTCACCAGTTCTACAAAAGGAAGAAGTTTCAGCAAACCAAACTTTACCATGCATAACACACGCTCGTGTTTCATACAGTAGTTTGGTCAAGGAGAATCTGTGATTCCAATTCCGGAGGGAGTACTCACCCCACACCCGAAAGACAGTTCATGTGAAGGAAGTTTTACAAATGCTTTTCTGTTCCCCGGCCCTTTTTCAGTTGTGTCAGCTCTAAAGGACATTGGTAACTTTTTATCGATAATTCCACCACCTACACTTGTAATCTCCCCCTTCCTAAGGCAACATCGACTCAGCCTCTGCGCGGCTGAAAGACAAGCATCCCTCCACCTAGAAATGATACAAAATAAAAACTACAAACGCCTCATTCTTGACAGGGTTTTATCACAACTCGCTTTGCTACAAAGAAATTCAAATGTTCAAATTCCAACACCAAACAAACACATTCTGATTCTCAAATCAGCCGGTTGGTACAGGAGTCCGGGGCTTCCCCGCTGCCCTGTGTAAGGATAAGGCAGCAAATCCCTGGCAGGTTACAGTGATATCAGCAACAGACGACCTCAAGGTCCTCACTGCGTCTTAATGGCAACTGAGAGTGCACTATGCACTACAGAGCTCAGCATAGCAGATGGGAGATTGAGCCCTGACATCCGCAAGAATTCTGAGTCCAAGCCACCAGTCCGGGTGTGAGTCAAGGAGGGAATGCCCCACCCTGCCTCAAATCCAGGCATCAGCTGTGACACAGCAGTGCCACACCTCTGTGACTGAAGTGTGCACTGGGCAGGTGGGCTGCTGGGGGGAGCACTGCCAACTTCTCCTGTTGTGGGGCACGGGGTGTGGGGGCATAGCTACCAGGTTTATTTCTGCGCCAGGAGAGAGGACTGGGTATGTGGAAGGGTCACTGACAGAGGACCCAGACCTGGGGTCCCTGCTTAGGGTTAGAGGCTTTGATTAAAAACACCTTCCTAAGCGGGGCTCAGTGGCGCATGTCTGTCATCCCAGCACATGGGAGGCTGAGGCAGGAAAATCGTTGCAAGTTGAAGACCAGCCTGGACTACACAGTGTGCTCAAGGCCAGCATAAACTGCATAGCAAGACCCTGTCTCACAAAGACATTTGAAAAAAAAGCCCTTCCCACCTGGATGTTTAGTGCTAAGTGCCACAGAAACAGCTCAGCTGCTGATTATGAACAGGACACAGTCACCTGCAGATGCCATCTTACACTGAAGGAGACCACCCAGGCCAGCACCATATGTGTCTCTCGCTTTTCCTTGTGCCCTAACAAGCTGTGAACAGTAAAGCTGGGTGCAGCTCGGTGAAGCACTGGCCCAGCCAGCACAGGCCTAGATTTGTTTCCAAGCTGAAATAAAAACATCCACACGTGCATCTCTGTTATTTAAACAAAATTCTCTTCCAAATTCATTTTAAACTTCACATTATTCTTAGAGCAAATCCTTGCTAATAGCCACAAAACAACATCTCTTTCCAATGAACTCAAGTAAACTTTTAAATAGCATCTGAGCCTCTTCCTGTACAACCAAGGGACCTAAGGGAGGAACTGGTCCTGGGCCAGGGAAATAGCTCAGTGGCATAGAACCTGCCTGGACTTTGAGGTCCCGAGTTCAACTCCTGGCACCAAAAGAAAAAAAAAGAATGGGACCAAATGCCACATTCTTGTCTCCTTTTATTTTATTTTTTTCTCCTTGTCTCCTTTTATAACAGATGAGTCAAATGCTCTTCTACCGTAAAAGGGAAAAGGAGTAGCATCACCTACTGAATGTTCAGTGTATTGAACTTTTTTTTTTCTTTTCTTTTTTTTGGTCTTTTTCATTTTTATCGGTACCAGGGATCGAACTCACGACTGCCTGCTTGCAAGGCAGGCGCTTATGCCGCTGAGCTAAATCCCCAGCCCCAAACTTTTTTTTTTTTGAGAGAGGGTCTTACTATGTAGCCTAGGCTGGCCTAAAACTCTTGGTGATTCTCCTGTCTCAGCCTCCCAGGTGCTGGGATTACAGCAGGTGTGGGCCACCATGCCCAGTTTTCCGTATTTTTTAGTAAGATAATTTCCTTGAATTTTCTGATGGACAAAATGTAAAGTGCCCTCACATGATAAACATCAGTTCACCAGAAATGTCTGAGATCACACACATACCCCAAGGGCTTCACAGGCCCAGGAGCCTGCAGGCACACACCCCAGCAGCTGGGCTGGGACACAGGAAGAATAATGGCAATGCAGAGAATTCATTCAGAAGCAGCACAGAGGCCCATGACTGCAGGACACTGTGGTAAGAGGATCACAATCTCAAGCCCCCCTGGACAACTTAGTAAGACCCTGTCTCAAAATAAAAAAATGAAAGGGGGCCAGGGATGTAGCTCAGTAGAGGAGAGCCCCTCAGGGGCTGAGGATTTAGCTCAGTGGCATAAGTGCCTGCCTTGCAAGCAGGCAGCCATGAATTCTATCCCGGGTACCAAAAAAGACAAAAAAAAAAAAAAAAAAAAAAAAGCGCCTCTGAATTTGATTCCCCAGTAGTGGGATGAGTGTGGGGGTATACTGAGAAATCATGGAGGATAGGGCTCTCCCCTCTCTAGAGCAGTTTCCAGGACACCTTTATAGTGGTGACTTTTTGGCTGTTGGGAACTGAAGGGGGAGCACTCTAGCACTAAGCTAAATCCCCAGGGCCTGCCCCACCCCGCTACACCCTTAGGCAGCTCTGGACTCCCGGAAACCAGGGTAGCAGAGAAAAGGCTGGAGGAGCTACACCCAAGTGCAGGATTTGGAAGAGCAGCTGAGAGAGGGCACGCTATGCCCGTACCTCAGGGACACGGGTGCTGCTGTGAGCTCAGGGATGCAGTGCCTGTGTAGCATGGGCCAGGCCCCAGGTTATATCCCCAGCACTGCGCAAGTAAACAAAAACTTGTAAACTCGCGCTCTTTCTCCTTCAAAGAGCACAAAATGTGCAATCAAACACCTACTCAAGTTCACAGGCAAAGCAGCCCTAACCATGTAGGCTTTCACCAAATTTGAGATTACTACGATCAGGGATGCTAGGCTACTACTTGGGTTCCAAGAGGCTCTCCAAAAGAACAAATGCCTCCCCCACCACCCTGAATGTAATTACTATGTATCAAACACATATACTAATAAAGAATTAAAAAAAAAAAAAAAAAAACCTCAGTGCAGTTGCACATACCTGTAATCCTGGCTACTAGGGAGGCGAAAACAGGAGAGTCCCAGTTTTTTAGCCTGCTTGGGTAACAAGGCAAGAACCTGTCTCAAAATAAAAGTTACATTAAAAAGAGCTGAGAGCCAAAGGTGTGATGATGGCACACGCTTGCTGTCCCAATGCTCAGGAAGCTAAGGCAGGAGGATCAGTAGTTTGAGGTAAGCCTCAGCTCAGTTCATGTACAGGGGCTGGAGGTTTAGCTCAGCGGCATAAGCGCCTGCCTTGCAAGCAGGCAGTTGTGAGTTCGATCCCCAGTACCGATAAAAAGGAAAAAGACAAAAAAAAAAAAAAAAAAAAGTAAGTTAGGTCCTGTCTCAACCACCACCCCCAATAGCTAGGCACAATGCCATATGCCTCCAATCTCATCACACAAGAAGGCTGAAGCAGTAGGACCTCACATTTAAACCCCACACTAGGCAACTTAAATCATGTCTCAAAAAAAAATAATAAAAATAAGGTGAGGGTCTAGTTTAGTGTGAAGGCCCTGTGTTCAAATACCAAATACCAAAAACTAACTAAATAAATTAAAAAGCTGAGGACATAGCTTGGTCCAAGACAAGCCCTGGGCTTGATACCCTGTGCCAGGGCAAACAAGTACCCTGATTATTTCCCCCCAGTACTGGGGACTGAACCTAGACTTGGGCATGCCAGGCAAGCACTCACCATTAAGCGGGATCTCAGCTCTAAGGTCTTGGGACAGAGTTTTGGGAATTGCCCCTTGCTGGCCTCAATCTCGA